AATCACTGGAAATCTCACGGGCCAATTAGCATTACATGTCAGCCACATGTATTTTTGTAATGTAATTCTTCAAACACGGAGGGTTACGGCTGTTAACTTCTTTTTCATGAGTTTACATTAGTCTCCTACCTCCTGCACTATAAAAGCATATGAAGCAAATTCAACCCTCTGTTATACTGGACCTCACTCACTCAGTGAAAGCTGGGCTGTGATTACCCACCACCCCCACCTCTCCCTTCTCATTCTCATTCTCACAACGCCCTCCATCTGCTTACTGCCCCCCCCTCTGTCTGCAGTCATCACAAAACAAGCCGTTGTCTCCAAACACATCGTCTCGGTGTCTTTGATAGGTAGTTGATAACAGACTAGAGACTTGATGGGGCTGGCTGACCTTGCTGTATATAAAGCGAGCTGCAGCAGTGACAAAGCCATCCAAGGACAGCACTGTCTCCCGACAACAACACACAGCCCTCGGTAAAAAGCTGATTTATCCATCTCGTGGATTCCCTGGATTTTTGCAAGCTCTTTCAGCATGGCTGTGTTCTTCACCGTGGCTCTGCTGGCTTTGGCACATCATCCTTTAATGGCATTCGACATGGGGCAGTCCACTCGCTGCGTCGCCATCCCAAACCAGATGAAGGTCTGCAAAGACGTAGGATACTCAGAGATGCGTCTGCCCAACTTCTTGGGCCATAGCAGCCTGGAGGGTGAGGTGGTGCCACGGTCAGAGGACTGGAAGCCCTTGTTGCAGACAGGCTGCCACCCTCAAGCCCAGGCCTTCCTCTGCTCTATCATCGCCCCCGTCTGTCTCGACACGTAAGTAGATTTTACTCTTCTTCTTTTTTTACTGTGTATTTTTGTCCACAAATTGGCCAATTATTCACTACCATGTTTTCCTGTGTACATTGTTTGACATCTTGTCTTTCTCTCCCTCAGTTTCATCCAGCCCTGCCGCAGTCTGTGTGTGGCAGTGAGGGACAGCTGTGCCCCAGTGCTGGCCTGCCAGGGTCACCAATGGCCCGAGGCTCTTGACTGTGACCGCTTCCCTGCTGAAGAGGACATGTGCCTCTCTCGCCACGCAAAATTTGGTCACTTTGCCAAAGGTAAGGACCAGAGAGTTATTATTATATTATTACTTATCTCTTATCCAATTGGCAGAATAATTATCATGTGCTTGCCCTTCATGTTGCATGAAATTAGTGCACACTCCTTGTAGCTTTACTAAACAATGTTTGCTTTTTATCACAGATCTTCCTAAACCTGCTTGCCAAAACTGTCCACCAGTGGAAGAGGCTCCTGCAATGAAAACAGTCCTGGATGCTTTTTGTCAGCATGACTTCGGTAAGAGTCAGAATTCTTTCAGAAAGCTGTGTTGCTAATGTGTAATAATGTTTGTGGAGTTAAATTTTCCAACCCCTGTTGATTAATTTCTTTTTTCTCTCTTGTCCACAGCTGTAACAGCCAAACTCCATCGCCTTCGCCTGCCCACAGGAGAGCCTGAATTTGAGGTAGAGGGTCGGGTCGAGTTTATCCGTCAGGGACCTCTGCTGCCCTATGACACACAGCACCTACTCCAGCAGTGGCTCCTCATTAACCTGCAATGTGCCAAAGTCCTTGTGCGCCCTGGACGATCACAGCTGTACGTGCTGACCGGCTCCGTGCAGCCTGACGGAACTCTCGCTCTCACCCGTCTCTTCCCCTGGCACAAAAAAGACGCAAACATCGCAGTGGCCACTCGTAAGTGGAAGCACCACAGGTGTTGAATGGACTGATACTTAACATATGAAAACTAGAGCTCTGAATCAACGATTAAAATGTAGAATCACGTAACATTTTAAGATTATAAATCAAGGAGCGGTTTTGGGATGGAGAGTTTCTTAGCATTGGGTGTTAATGAGCAACTGTACAACAAGCTAAATGGAAAAAGGACCAGAGCTGGCAACACATCAACACTATTTGCTTCCCTCTGTAGCTCTCTGCCTCATCCCCGTTCTTGCAGCACATTGTAATAAATGCACTCAACTCTTGTACATAGTAATAATAAATGTAAATTGATTGTAAATTCTATTTTCTATAAGGATATTGGTGTATTTATGACATCTTTTTGATGTGTATGTTATAAGAAAAAGATGACAATAAAATATTTGCGGTGTAAAATTACCTTTAAAGGTATTTGTGATCATTATCAATGGTGCACATAAATGCACTGTATGAATGTTTGTGTGAATGGGTGAATGGCAAAAACTACTGTAAATCGCTTTGAGTGGTCATCAAGACTATTTCATTGTCGATCATATTGAGTTTTTAATTTAAAACAACAAAGGACAGGGGTTATTTATAGGTCTCCTGTGTCTGTGCCCTTCTTTACTCCTCACTCATTTCACCATAAGATGGCGCACTTCGGGAAACCTGGAGCAGCACAGCACTGGTTTTTCTATTGTGTTGCCATGTATTAGTATTGTACTCACAGATTGGTCACTCCATAATGTAGACAGTGACTCAAACTGTTTGGAATGACTGGAGACTTTATTTATAGTAGATGCGTGTGGTGTGGATCGTACCATGTAGCACTAATGAGAAGATGAATCACTCGCTTTACATTTGAATGGCCCTGTTTTCATGACCGGGCTGAACAGGTCTAGTTGGGGTTGCTGGACAATGGGCTCATTCAAAACCCTTTTTCACAATACTATTCATTTTATGTAGTGCCCCGCACAGATAATGAGCTGTCCTGTAGTTTAAAATAAATGTTGAATGCTTTTAAAGTTCCCCCTGTTGGCTGTTAATTATCTGTATGAGTTTGTTGTTTGGGACATGTTTTCCCTCTAGGGACAAATGAGTAGCAGTGAAGTCATGGCGTCTTTATTCAATTGCGGGCAATAAAAATGGTATTCATCACAATTTAGATTTTACTGCTAAAGCAAGATAAATGCGTTGGGATTTTAATACAGTTAAGTTATACATAATGTGGACCGTGACCAACAGCCTGCATCTGCTTCTGTATTCTTTTATTTCCTAATGCACCAATATCCCATACTGTAATTGACAAATTGCCCACGTATGTTAACAGTGTGTAAGACAGTTTCTGCCTGGATTAGTTGTCTGCTCTAGGCCGAGCGGATAACTAAGCCAAGCATATGATGTGCAAATCACGTTTTTTTTTAAAAATCACTTGGTATCCTTTATAAAGTGATTTGTTTAATCAGTGACATCATTGGATGGGCAAGAGTCACTCTAGCAGCAAAAGAGCTCCACTCATCATCTCGTGCTTCATCATCTACAAAGGAAGCATGAAAAAAGGTAAGATGAAATGTCAAATTCATTTTAAAGTAATGTTATCATCTTAATTTAAATTGTTACTTTTTTCCTCAGTTTGGTTTACTGTCCTCACACTCGTGTACCTGGAGTGTTCCATGAGGGCTGGCACTGCTCCGATGTGTGCTCATGAACCGGCTGGATGTCACGTCCCTTCCCTGGCAGACCTCTTTGACAGGGTCATACAGCAGTCTTCAAGAATGCATGGCATCTCCAGCGATCTGCACACTGAATTTGTGAGTCCTTTTTTTTTTTTAACTGGTCTTGACATCACCATCCATCACCCTTCATTCAGGCCCCATTCATTCATCATCAATCATTCCTGCTTGAGTTGGCTATTTTTTCAAGCTATCGATGAGTCTGTGTGATTTCTGTGTCTGTTTCTGTCAGGAGCAATATTTCCTTCCCAGCAAGAATCTCACTGGCAAACGGAAATGCCACACATACGGAATACTGACACCAAATGACAAAGAGAATGCCCAAAGAATAGGAGTGAGTTTTCATTTAAATATGTCATGGTTAATGCACGCACAGAAATGATACCATGTTATTTAAAGGTTCTGTGAGTAAGATTTAGTTAAAGGGATCTATTGGCAGAAATTCAACACAAAATAATCCTAGTGATGATTTCACTTGTGTGTTTCATCTAAATAGTACAAATAGTTTTTTCCTTTAACTTTTTCCTTTATATTGAAATACTTTCTATTTTCATCGGGAGCGGGTCCTCTACAGAGGCCACCATGATTTTTACAGTCGTCCAAAACGAAACACTTTTAGAGTTTTTATGACGACTGAAGTTTTCCACAGGTTCTCTTTCATGTTTGAAAGAGGAGGGTGAAGTGAGGGGAATCCTGCTGCAACATGCAAATTCACCACTAAGTTCTACACAGTGAACCTTTTACTGTTCTCACGTGCAGCGAGAACAACTGACGGAGGTGATTCTGAGGCTGCTGGGGGCTTGGGGTGACCCCTTGTCCCAGTTCTACCAGAGCATGTCTCAGGATCAGAATCAAGACTTCAACCACTACAGCTCCAACAAGGCACTGGAAATCAATGATATGGTGCACGAGCTGAGGGATGGAGTGACTAAAATGGCTGAAACGGTAAGAAGAAAATATATAACAGGAGAAACGTATGTTTGTGTAGATTTTCATTTCTGTGACATACTGTATGTTTCTTCATTTGTTCTTTTATGAAATGAGTTCTGTCTCTTGACCCCCCCCCCCACAGATGAAGCTGTTGGGAGTGCTTGACAACACTGTGAGTTTCATCTCCCCGGAGAGTTCTGTCCCCCTCTCTGCCTTTGCCTTCTACAAACGAGGAGAACTCCAATCAATAGACCACCATGACCTGCTCTACTGCTTCCGCAGAGACTCCAACAAAGTCAAAAATTATCTCCATGTCCTGAAATGCACCACCCTCCCTGGACTGGACTGTTGATAGTCACTGCAAAACAGTGAAGTATGATATCTTTGCTTTTAGATACAAATTGTGCTCTTACTGCATGTGCTCATGTCCTTTGTAATGCACTTTCGATTTTTCTTGGAAACATTAAAATGTCCAAAAATAAAACTAAGTAAACCTGAACTATCATTGTTGGCGGTGTTATGAATTTATTTATTTGCTTATTAAAATGAAAGAGGGAGACACAGCAAGAATAAGTTATGAGGAAAACTAGATTCACTGAAACACTTTATTTACAACAGATCTATGCATTTAAGATCATGAAAAAAATATTTACAAAATATGTCATGTGATGAATATCATAAAGCTTACCGAAAATGAGACATCCTATGAATACATTCAGAAATCTCTGTTCGTCATTTTTCTCCACAATCGCTCACCCAAGACTTCAAACTAGGTTTTAATCATTGGACCTGAGGAAGTGCAGTGTTGACTGTATATTGGGTGAGCACTTGCAGAGAGCCTAACCCTAATCACACAACTGAGACATCATCAGTGACATTGCAAAATGATGCTTTGATGATGCACTGCTGTGTTGCTAGTTACTAGTTGGAAAAAAGTCTGATTTGTAAATGCAGTAAATGAAGTGACAAATGTTTCCCTTTAACTGATTGTAATAACAATCGGAGACGAGGAATCTTCCCTGGAAAGACTTGTCAGTGTAATAACCATGAAATTGTTCACCGAAGCCAGTGAAACACAATATGATGATTGACCAAGCAGTTGAGCCTAATTATATTTATGATGAAACGCAGTTAACATTATCAGTGTTAGTTTTCACAGACGGCATATTCCATCCACGTTTTTTATACAACCCCCCTGTACTGAAGCCCTTTTCGAGGCCAGTGGAAGTCGGAAAGTCCCCATTTTACTCTTGTTCATCAGAGCCCCTCATGTGTCTCTGACACTCTTGTGTGGTGGTGATCTCTGTGTCTTGGCACCAGTGTTGTTCTGAGATGGTTCTTCCTCTTCTTCTGCGAGGCCTGTGGCCATCAACTCATCCATCGGGGAACGTGTATTATGGACCTCCTTCTCCTTACAGTTTCTCCACTTCATTCGTCGGTTCTGGAACCAGATCTTCACCTAAAGTAGCAAGAAAATGGAAGAATCATTTTAGTTCAATTCATTGTTAGCCATGCGAGTGGTGTAGCTCTGGGGATGCCAATGTCTGTCTCTACCATTAAGGTCAAATGAAATATCAAATACATGCAGACATTCATGGTGGCCAGTGTTCCTCAGATTTTCCCTCCAGGGCTACTATAAAGTTCTTATTTGTGGCTTTGAACAATAGTGTCTTAACAGCTATGAAGTAAACTATTGGTATCGAAATTCAAAGCCCATTTATAATAACTTTGGTGATCCTGACTTTTTATGTAGCACATTCATCTGATCAAAATTTGAATTTGACTCATACTTTGGTTTATTAACAATTAATTTCAAACTAATGAAATTTCCTGCAGCTTGAGCTGTGCTTTAAATTTTCTGCTGTACGACTGCTAAACAACTAATCATCAAATATTAACATAATTACATGGGGTAAATGGGGGTAATGGTAACTACCTGATTAGCATCAGCATGCTAGCATTGCTATTAACACTTTACACAGCATGTTTAAGGCAGCAATGTTGCACCTTTATTCAGCCTAGCTGTACTGTATAAGAAGTGAAAATAGGGAATGGGTGCACATTGTGGTTTGGCCTGTATGCCAACAGAGGAGTTGGTCACAGAGTCAAATAGATGCTCTGATCCTAGAGTGCCAACATGCTATGGGGCATGGAGAGCATTTAAACATGTAGCATTTAGCGAAGACCACCACTGTCCTCACTAGTATGGCTTTAGAATCTTTGCATGTTTAAGCCAATATCTGGATGTTGCTGACATTTTTCATGTGCATGCCTTAAATCTAAACAGTAGTTTCAATTGTTAGTCGCAGAGTGAGATTTAGGTTCGTTCATCGAGAGTTGTTTATGAAAAAGTGCAGTTGTCTTTCAGGATGTGATTTGAAGCAGGCAAAGTTTCAGGTAATCCATATATTCGATTACCTGTGACTCCTTGAGACTGAGCTCAGCTGCCAGTTTGTTCCGGTCCGTCTTGCTGATGTACTTCTGTCTCCGAAAGGTTCTCTCAAGCTCCTTCCGTTGTTCTTCTGAGAACACAGCCCTCCTAAGGATCCCTCTGCGAACTTTCGGGCTTACATCAGCAGACCACATCCGCAGATTTGCTCCCTCTTAAAGATGAAAGTGAAAAACAAAACTATATTAATGTCAGTGTCACCCATCCTGCTGATATTTAATTGTCAGTTGTGGATATGTCTCTTGGCTATGTGCATGTTGTTGCAATCATAAACTAGAGTATAACAGGGAGAGGGTGCATGTAGCAGCTTGGAGAATATAGACTTTCAAGGAATTGAGACAAAAACAGCTAAATTACTAGTTAAACTATCCAGATCAGATTATTTACGGATCATTTATTCGTGATTTAGATAAATTGAATTCAAAGGTACAAAATCAGATTCTGACCACAACCCCCCCGTATAAATTTTATACCAACCATTACCACATTTCCTTCCTTTTCAAACCAAGATGATGCCTGTTTTTGTCACACTCACTTTATCACTCACTTTCAATTCCTCTCCCTCTGTTTGCCCAATTTAACAAACTGGGGGTGACTAAAGAGAATAGAAAGCCATTTCAACTGAGAAAAAAGCGATTTGGTGACCTGTGAGGAGCAATCCCACGCTGCTTCACTCACAGGTGCACACACAACAAAAGTCAAGTGGAACAATTTATCCGATCCATTCAACGTTGCCTTTTTAATCTGTACGACAAATCTGCACATAGACCACCTCTAGGGAGCACATAAGAGGTTTCGACATGCTTCTCAATTCTCTATTGGGACTCAATGGCTTTCACTTAAATAGCTGATTACCAGGTCATTCCTGGGCAACGTGTGTGTCTCCCCTAGTGGGCCAACTATAGAGCCCTGGGGGACACCAACAATAGAGCCGTTCAATGGAAATGCCATTACTCGATGGCTCAGTAGCCCAACACTAAATCTTTTCACTTGCAGGTATGAAGCAAGTTTGTATGTGAAGATGAGCTCGAATAAGTCTATAAAAGTCACTTTCATTGAATGCTTTATGTCCTAGTCAAGAGGTCTCCAATGGGAAGGAATGAGAGTTGAGGGACAGGAGAAAGGAGGGGGGTCAGCGAACCAAACTCTTTAGCCACACAATGGCCGGGGGATGTTCCTGGTCCATCCCTCTTCTGCAGTGAAATGGGCAGGTTTTTTGTGCTTGGCGGAGTTCATTGCTGCAATGAAAAATTGCAGTGAGGTCGCGTGTGGATGGTGGAGTGAATGTGCCAATTGGTCACGGCCAGACTTGGCATTGTTGTGTTGCTGGGCACTGTGGGAAAGTGTCAACCTACTATGGCGACTCCAGGGACCTGTGGGATGAGGGCTTTCTGATTTGTGCTATTCTCCACAACTCTTGACAGGCATCATAGGATGCAGCAAGTAATAACTTCCAATTGCTTTAGGACAATGCCAAAATAAGACAGCTGCTAGTCTAAATACTACCCAAGTAAAATATAGCAATAGTGAAGTTGTACTTAAACATTTCAAGCACAATTCAATGGACATTTGAATCATTTCATTGTTGCTCTTTCCAGGATGTTTTTCATTTTATGGCAGCCTTAATAATAAAAAATCTGTTCAAATTCACAACTAAACTCATTAATGTGCTGAGGGAATATTAAACTTTGGAGCAATCTGCCTTACGCAGTAACAATCTGCACCTGGTAATTATAATCTTAATATGACAGAAGACAAGATGTTTATTAGCTCTGCATATTTGTGCTAGTAAAAGTCTGTATTTGCAAGTGCAAAATGGGGGGGGGGCAGTGACTCAAAAGCCTTGCAACACACCCCTCTTCTCCGTCCTGAACAGCCGTGAATGGTTATGAATAGAGCAGTGCAGAGTTGAGTGGAGAATTAGTTCTTTGGTATTGCATCAGTAATTAGCTGTGGAGAGCATGGGAGACTGGGCTGATGCTAATGCTTAGAGAGTAGCTGAGGCATTGCTGATGAGGCATAAAACACTCACTGGAGAAGACGGGAGGGGGGCTGGACCCACCGCAGCATGCCAGCAGATACTGCGGGCTCCGCAGGAAAACACTGTTGAGTACACCTGCAAAGACAGATAGGGACGGTCAGATATGGTCATGTAACAACCAGGTGTGACATAATGGTCTTCAAGGGACTCTACCTGGTTCGCTAGCAATTTCTTAAGCCAAATGAGTCCTGCTTTGCCTCATTTTGTTGTTTTTTTAATCTACTTTACAACAGTGTTAAGCTTCAGGTGATAAACACAGATGGACCTTCTACTTTTTTTAATTAGGTATATTTTTAAAATTTGATCTTATTTGAAAACTACCTACAGATGAAAGAAATGTAGTAATCCAGTCTGATAGTTATTTGCTTAAATGATGCTTAGGCCATCAAAAGGAAGATGTTGTGATTAGAGGGTTCACATATTTCTTGCATATGTTTATAGTATTTTAATAGAAATATTGAAATTTCCCCTTTCAAAACATTTGCAGTTATTGTATTTTCAGAGCTCAGATGAGATAATTGGATCTGCTTGTTGATACTACTGGTATTTAAATGTATTACCAATTTTAAATTCTATATTTCAAAATACATTTATAACTGAGTTAAGTTTATTTTTTCTTTACTTTGACAGAATTTCCAATGTTTAAAAGTAATTTGTGACTCGATGAATAAATGTGATAATATGTAATACATTGATTACAATTTAAAAAAAGAAGTTAATAATGGTAGTGTATAAATGACTCACGCCATAAGTAATTGTGATCTTTCTTACAACATAGCACTCTTACAACACATGTTATCTAACTTACCTAATTTTAAGAGCTATAAATATTTTCCAACGAAAAACTGAAGAATACCTGAAGCTCAATTCATCCTCAAACATTCTTTATCCTTTGTATAGTTTGAGCCGTTTAGAAAGAAGAAATAAAATATTTGTAGAAGCCAAAGAACCTTGCTGTCATTGTGGTAAAGTAAAACATTGTAGCTCTACACATTTAAAACTCTGTCATAACCCACATATACTAGAGTTAGTTTAAATAGTCTGTTTGCTTAAAAAGAAAGAAATCAGTTCACCTGAGTGTGGCAGAAGTTGTCCTCCTAAGTCTTTCACCTGCTGGGGACTTTGTCCCTGGCTTTGGAAGGCTCTATGCTCAGGGGCCCAGGTTCTTCTGGGATGTTCACATGCTGCTTGTCTCAGGTGTCCCCAGGTTGTCCCTTCCGAGCGGGATGAAGATGTCTGCAGTAGATTGTCAATGAGAAAGCTCTTTCCTGAGCTCCCGAAACCCGGTAAAGCGGGAGGAGAACCAGGCATATTTCTCCTGGTGCAGCTCTGAACTGAGACCATCCTGTTCACACAGTGACCCGAACACTCGAGCTCCCTCTTCAGCAGTCACTGCCCAGTGACACTAAATTCTCCTCTAATCCTTTCTTGAGTGACCAGGCCAACTTCATTAAACTCTGGCGAAAACAAAAGTTCTCTGCTCTTCCTCTTTCGGGCCTGCACTTTGCTGCAGGGCTGCGTCGTGATTGGCTGAGAGGGTCTAATGTGCTTCTCAATTCAGATAAGGCTGGGGTCCTTTCTGGAGTGGCAGAAGGTGGGTCTGGCTCATTCATTATGTCAACTAGCCTATTAAATGATAGACACCAGAGACAATGAACTGCTGGCAAAAGTTTAACATGCACCAAACAGACCTCTCTAGTAGTAAATAGTTTTCTCTATTCTCCAGACTCCTCAGAGCTCAATTGTGCCTCAGACTGACCTCACAGAGGTTCATTTACAATGTGCTTTTTTATGCTGTTTCATTTCAGAAACATTTAGTCTGTGAGAATTTTCTGAATTGTTGGGTGCGAAAAGAATGTGTTGACGAAATAAAATGTTAAAATTATAAGAAAAAGTGCAAGAATCTAATCTAATAAAACTTCTCATCTTTTTATTTAAGAAAACAACCTAACCTAACTCACTTTGCACAACCTTACAAGGTGACTTGATTTAATTGGATGCATTTGCTTCACAATTTTATTTATAATACCACAAAAAATGTTATTTAAATTAAACTAAGAACATTTTTGTAGATTGTTTATTGTTTTTGTAGATGAAAATTTTGTAGATTGTAGATTTTTTTTATAGCATGACAGCATTATTTTATATTGTAAATGTAATTTATCATGAACAAAATTAATTTAACAAGATTTCATTAATGAAACAACCCTCCTAAGCATTACTTGTAATGAGGCTATTTGTCAGAGGGTCAAAACATATTGTACATTCACAGAGGTGTTTTAGTCAGTTATAGCTCGGCAATGGTAGAAACGTGGCTCAACAGGCAGCAGATTCAACCACCTAATACTGCACTAAAGGACTGGCACGAAATAAATATTGCTGGATATTTGAGGTTGCAGCAGGAATTGAAATGGTCACACATATGCATGTTGTGATGTTTTGGTACAAACACGTCCAATGAGAGGCTTGTGTAACCTTTCACACTGCAACTAATGATCCTCAACATCATAATAGAAAGTCCTGGAGTTTAGGCACAGTAAACAGGCATATCCACACTGGTCGGGGGTTTGTGTGTGTACGTGTGGGGGGGTCGTGTTGAAGCAGGGAGTCTGCGCGTGTAGATACCTCATGCTGAGCATGGAAATTGGCCCAGACAGCTCAGTCTATTGTGCGATGGCCAGGGAGCCAAAGGTTGCTTGTAATCAAATTTGAGGTTTTTATTCCTCAGACTGGTGGAGAAGGCATAGCGCTCTGTCACTTGATGAGTGTTAGCAAATCTGTGTGCACTCTCTACTTTTGTGTAGCGAGTGTGTGGTAACATGCAGCACATAGACCAGTGACAGTGGTGGACCTCAAGGCTTTTTGTGTGGTGGACTCATTTGTTTATATGCCACACATGGAAAACAGGAAGGACAGATGGCGTTTCAGTGCTAGTAAACGTAATTGTTTTTAATTTGAAACCATCCTGATTGTGTTTTATGTGAAAACATTGAGGATTTTTGTTTAGTTTATTTGTACAGTCACACTCTCTCATTCAAATAGTTTCTGAACAACAAATGAGAATCTGTGGCAAGTGTAAAAGTTGTTCCATGTACCTCAAAACTAACGACCTGCCTTAAAACACTGCATGTTCCTGTTAAAATCATATATTTCTCTCTTTTTGCTGACATTCTTTTTGGAATAACAAATCTCACACGACTGTGTGCACATTTTAAAAAGGCACAGCTAAGAGCGTATCATCATTAAGATTCACCACTTCGTAATTAGCCAGATTCCAATAGAGCTCTCCAGGAGAGGGAGGTATAATTAAGCTATTCTTAAACGGTAGGTCTTGGAAACACCCTGAAGCAAGTTCATGTGAATTTATTTGATGTCCATCTCTTTTAAGAAATGGAGGGAAAAAACAGGGGTCCCTTCATTCAGAATCCTCACAATGGCCCTGTTGAAAGCTCGCACTCTGCAGTCCGGCTGAGATCCCCTTTCTCTCTTTTTTAACCCCACTAAAGCTCTTAAAAAGATACCGGCCCATTGCACACGCAATTGATATTCCACCACTCGAACTTAATATCGTGAATGGAGGGCCAGGCTCTATGAATCAGGAAGACAATGCGCTTAGCTTAGCAGCAAACTGGCACTTTGTGTGCGGTGTCTGTGCCCCAGAGGAGGAAGTTTCTAATGTGAGCCTCACAATTGTGTGTCTATAGAGTTCTAATGAGCTTCTGTATGCTGAGTGAATGGCCGTGGGCCTTTCACTACGAGGGCCCAATGAGCCAGCTCACTGCACACATTCACAATGGGATCCAGGGGGAATGGGAGTGACTGTGTGGAGCTACTGCACTGCCTGGGCAGTCTATAAAAGATCAACGTACATAGAACCATGTTTCCATCAAGACTTTCTCCATATTAAGCCGGTTACAGTTTAAAATACTTCAAATCTTTGTTTCAGCTCCTGTTTGGTTTTTTTTCACCCCAAAATGTTACCTTTTTAAAACGGTCTTTAGATCGGCTAAATGTTAAAATGCCGGCTTCATCTTTTACTGTGTACTAAATGGAGCTTTTGCAAATCAGTGACATAAGCCTGCTCAGTCCCAGCTGCGGTTTTATACAGAAGTTCAGAAAAGAAAAAAGTACCTCAGCATACAGCCTCTGCAACAGTGAAACAAATATCGAGCAATTAATACCCTGGATATTTAGCTCCTGCATTGCTGGTGCACTTGGTGAAATGTTTTGAAAAACTTTAATAAATAGCTAGTATCAATCCATTCTCCCTAGTTTGAGGGGAGCTAGAGTCTGGAGCCAATCACAGCTGACATCATGCAAGACACAGTGTACTTCTAGGACAGTTCGCCAGTCCATCACAGTGCCGACATGTTGGGACAAACAACCACACATACTCAAATAACCATGAGCAACAGTCATCAAACCAAAGACACACAATCTCATTAGAGACCCACAAAACCCATTTAGGCGAGTCTTGTTTCAACCATTTCTCTAATTTTTGTTTATGAATTTCACACATTTAAAATGACAAATTATTATTATTATTATTATTACTACAACAAGCACCATCAATCTATTTTTTTATTCCTTCATTGTCTTTTGCAACATGTGTTAGATATGTGCTAAGCAGAGTTTTACCACTTCTGAGGGTATTTTTCAGAATCACAGTTTGGTTACCAGTATTATATCCCTGTGTAAAATAGATAAGGCCACAGTACTGTTGTACAAATCCAAAACATCAGCGTACAGATAAACATTTTCTTGCCCCCAGCAACCAACAGGTTCAAACATCATTAAACCAGTGAGTGGGGTCCTGCACTACACTCCACCTGGTCTGTGCACTAACTTCTTGTTGTGCTCATCATGTATTTAGCCCTGGGATGGTCCCAGGGTGACACTGTCTGTCTGACCTCAGTACTGCTACACTTTGGAGACTCTGTGGCTGCAGTTCACTATCCAGACCCCAAGATGGCGCTGGGGGAATGAGAATAGTCTTTCAGAGCATTGGTGTGGTGGATGATTTTTTTTAAGATCTACTTTTAAAATCAAACCTTTGTTCAACATTGTCTGTAGTATTTTTCTTTTGGTGTTGCATATCATGTGAGTCTTATTATTAAAACAGGAGCATTAAGTGCCTTAATTATTAACTACACATAGTTGATTTGCAATGTAAATCTAATGTAGTCACTTAAGTCATATTTGTCTTTCATATTCAAATGAATCATATGAAGTCAAAGCTGTTCCCATGAATATGAAACACAGGATATAGCAGTTGACTGTATGGATCATTAGAGCTCACACTTTTTAATATGACTCATGAATGTCAGATTTGAAAAAAGAGACAAGGTCAGTATAACATGGGAGTTATGCAACTGATGAATCCCAGGAGAGGCCTGTGGGAACAGTAGCTTCTCTCTGTACTTCATTATAACACGGCATGGCGACTGTAAGCGATTTCCAATCTATCTTTGGTGTGTCTGTGTGGTGCCGCTATGGCTCTAAGTGATGAGACGTTTGTATTGCATCACCCATCTGGATCTTCAAGAGGAGAGGAACAAAAGGACTCGCACGGTCCCTCATGTCCTTGCCCAGAGAGATTTGGTGCGTGTGTGTGTTTGTGGGCACGTGCACAGCAAGTGTGTGTTATCACTGTGTGCTTTTATTACTATTCATTCCTGGCTGGGCGCTTACTTTAATGACGCTTATTTTCCTGATGGCACTTTAGGAAATGACAACTTGTGGGCAATAAAAAGTAATTACATTTCTCCATGTCTGGACCCAGAAGAAATCTCGTATTATAAATAATGAAAAGATGGGGGGAGGCCCCCTCACACAGCTGACGTGACGCTCTGCACACAGAGCAATTGGCTGCCTTTGTTTTATCGACAATAGGCGCCCATTAGCTGCTCACTCTGGAACTACAAACAAGCTTTAGATATTTTAAATTAATTAAAACAAAACATGTTTTGGCCTTAATGAAAACTGTAAGGAAGTGGAGGCAGATTGATATGACCAATATGTTGGCGATAATCTGGGGCGCTCAGCAAGAAGCTCTGCAGCACACAGGCTTCTGGAACTGTCCCTATAATCGTATCTGCTGGCCTTTACTTGTCAGCCTACTTCAACAGAGCAGCTCAGCCAACAGAAGAGTGTTTGATCCAGAGGTTGGCCGCGGTTGCAGGAAATTGACTCAGGGAAAATGTAACTGTTTATCACCCTTCAAATAATCATCTCTAGCAGAGCGTGGCTGCTGATAAGACAGCACTAGTTTTTAAAAAAATGGCTTCCAAGGATGGAGAATATGAATAAACAAATATTCAAAGCACAAAGCATCTGTGCTCTATAAAAAGACTTTAACAGGGCTGAGTCACACAGGCAGCCGAGCACTCTCTTTTAATTCCTTTTCATACCACCTGCCAAAAAGGCAAACTTCGACTTTACAGTATGACTTACCTAATTGAAGAAGGGGAAATGTACGTGTACAGGAGGTCGTAACTCTATGAATAAAGCATTTATGACACTTCTGGTAAACTTGATGCTTTCAGACAATTATTTTCTCTTACCAGGTTCTATTCTCACACGAGGACAGAGAAGACAGATGGTTGAAAAGAGCAGTAAAGGAGGCCATCCACTTCAAACTGGAACAACCATTTCTGAACAGAAAAGATGGGGGGGGTTACTTATCAGCTGCTCATAATGCCCCCACCCTAACATCCCTTTGCAGGCAGTTCAACCCAAATTCACACTGAAATTCATGAGACTCCACAGATGATTGTCATGTGACCTTTGACCTCTTCTGTGACCCACTGGTACTGGAACTTCCACACGACAGTAGAACAAATGAAGCTGGAGCATCTTCAGGATGAAGGAAAGGGTAATCCAGATCAAGTATTTCTTGATGTGGACTGACAATTTAATCACATGGAAAATATTTACTATCCTTTCTAGATTACAGAAAAAGGGTAGAGAGGGAAATATCTGATCACGCAGTCAGATGTTCAGCCCCTTCAAGAACTGTGTGGCTCATGGGATACCTAGACAAATTAACTTTGTCCAATGCAAACTTACATTCCAGGTGTCTTGATAAAACTACTGTATAGACTCTTCACTGTGATCCAAGTCCTGCCTTCGGGTGGTAGTTAGTAGTGATTTGGCTCTTATGTGGAGAACAAATTCCTACCCTACATCTTTCTGCAGAAATACTTAAGAGGTCATTTGAGCGTATGTGCATGATGCTGTGGAATTCTGTGCGACGTTAATGTTGAGGTTAAAAAATAATCAAACTGTTTGATGCGCACATTGTTTGAGTGAGGCAAAACTGACCTTTGTCCATGTTGGCGATAAAAAGTCCTTGAGGGGTTATCTCACTACCCCACCTTCTCCACAGGACTCACAGAAACCACAGATCGCACATGAGCTCTATTCCACTGCATTTTTAGGCTCCTATGTTTCCTCATATTGCTACATATGCACATGGCTTACTTCTTTGCTTGTTTGTTTTCGTTCTTTACTTCTTTTCAAGCAAGGGCTTGAAGGAAACTCCAGATGGAGGAAATGTGTCATTTATTTATGGAGAACTACAAAATTTAGGCCAAAATTGTTATTTATTACTTGGAAACCTTATTCTTACTAAATTATGTGCTTACCTGAGGACAAACGCCCCAAACAAAGACATTTCTTCAAATTTAGTGCAAACATTTCACTCGGACTCAAGAATGGCCTGATTAGAACTTGGACGTCAAAGGTCAACTGTGACCTCACAAAACTCTTTTGTCTTAATAACGCCTCGAGAGAAGTTTGGCACAAATGTTCAGTTAGACTCACAGATGTCCTGATACGATGAGTGGAAGGTCGAAGTCTCGGTGGCTTCTTGAACACGATAGTTTCAAATCTGCCTTTAGGAACGTCTTCACATTTTGACCAGTTGTCTCTTGGACACAAAGATAAACTGTCACAGTGACCTCATATCAGTTTGGGGAAAAAACTGCTCTGCTTGTTGGAGCCATCACAGGTCTGACATGCAGTGACAGTGGAAAACCTTTTTTAAATAGTTGTTTCAAAAGGAATTTACAAGTTTTGCTCTGTATACATTTCCTTTCTTTCCAGTAGGCGTGGTAACAATCAATACCAGCAGCCTAGTTTTGGATCCACCAAGGCTTTCCTCGCCTCAGGCCACAAGGGGGCTTCATTGTCCCTCTTTCAGCCTTCCTCTCTCACTCCTTATCAGTTTTCTTTCGTCTCCCCCCTCCTCTCTCTCCTCCCTCTCCTCTCCCTTCCTCTCCCTCCTCTCCTCTGGTGCGCAGCCCTCACTCTGCTGCTGCTGGAGCGTCTGTTGAGGCAGCGGCTGCTGCGCTTTGTGCGTCCTCTGTTTGCCACCTGTGCCGATGGAGCAGTCCGTGCGTTTCATGGAATAATTTGCACACTCGCGACGCCCTTTTCTTCCTGTGTCTGGATTTGCATTGTTTTTCATTTATTTTGCATCATCTTAAAGTTGTGATGATGCCTCCGCTCAACATTTGGGATTGGTAAAAGCCTTCTGTATACGAGGAGGGTGACAGCATCATTCGCATGTGATTGAACAATCTACCGTCTCTCAGGAAGTGGATAAAACATGGACTAATATCTTTTTTATACATTCACCATGGGATTATTACAGCTCTTTCTGGTCCTCGGCACATTCTGCGCCTCCTCAGGTAGGACACAATGCTGTCATTGTGATACACCAACAATCTCTTGCAACATGTAGCCTCAGAGATCAGATGCATGATTAGATCATGTGTTCTTATGCATATGTGGACACTGTGTGCTTCTCAAAAACGACCAGACCTGTACTTGATTTATTATTTTACTGTACACTAACACCTCCCCAGACCCCAGCAGTCTTTATACAGCATCACACGTGTCCTTGCCTGCTGTTAACAATGACAATAATGTTGTTTTGTGTGTGTGTGTGTGTGTGTGTGTGTGTGTGTGTGTGTGTGTGTGTGTGTGTGTGCACATTAGTTGCAGGTTTTGGTGTTGACCCTGCCCTGCGCATCAGCGTGTTTGATGAACTAACACTTGGAGAAGGTTTTGATGGAGTTACTCAGGTCCAGGGCTTCCACAGCGAGTCTCGAGCTTTTCACTTCCAAGGTACAGTAATCACACACACACACACTACCTGTGTTTTTCCTCATTAATGGAAGATAAGAGCAGCTTGGAATGGAAACTGACTGTCACAATCATCGCTGTGCTGCTAATATTTTGTTTTAACATCTTCTTGCAAGACTAACATGATTGCGTAAATCCACGGATCCACTCCCTGAGATGCCAGATGTAGGGATTTCTCTCAAAATGTCAGATGATGTGATGATATTATAAGCACAATATGCCAGCAAACGGTTCTAACTCTCCACAGTATAACTGTCAGGGGGCCAACATGCATACAGTGGGCTTTCAGTTTTCCTTGGGGGGCCCCACAATGCCACCTGCCTGAACAATAGGCAGTGGGTTGGTGGGCTGAGCAGGGACGAGCAGAGAGGGGGAGAGATGGGTGAATCACGCAAAGAATCATAAAGACTTGGCATAATCAGATTAGGCAGGGACAAAACCCTGTGTTCGCAGAGATGTATGATGTGAGTCTGGAGGGTGAATAGGCCCCCTGCTACAACATAGCCATGGGTGATCCTCTGGAGTGTGTAAGCATAACAGTTTCTATACCCTTAAAGTATGAATGTGTGGAAGAGTGAGTCAGATGCCCATGGTGTCTTCTGTAAGGCAGGCTACATATGTTATATATGTGGCATTCAGCTGTGTGCATAATGAAGTTTTCAAAGCTGCGGCCATTCTTTATCTTTTTTATCCTCTGTTTTGCAAGTGTAAATTGTCATTTCATGTCAGACACTTATTAAAGTCCAAATGAGACTGTTAAACAGTGTCATCACAGGGATGGAGATGTCTATCATAACCCTGCTAATAGCAGCAACAGGGGAAATTGCTTTTGGCTCCAAGATCAGTGGGAAACTGAGGATGTGGCAACACTTAAATCCTCACAAGGAGGATCTCGACACGAATCACAAAATGTACCAAAGTGACAATGTTGTTTTGAGGGGCAGAGAAACACCACAAACATTTGTTGACGTCTATGCTTCTCCTCTCCTCCTTGTGGATATATCTTCTAATCTCACGACACAGTGACTGAGACAGCAGCACTTCTTTTTTTTTCAGACCAGCAACTCCAGCATCAGCATTGTGAATTCAGGCCATTTGATGTCCTCCGTGTAGACAACACTCAGAAGTGCTGTATAACCCAGTCAGGTGGTGAGAGGCAGGGAGGAGGAAGACCGTGAGGAAGAGTTGGAGAAAGAGAGAGAGCAACAAAGACAGTCGTAGAAAGAAGCTCCCGCCGCTTTTGTCATAAATTGCAAAAACAAGACGGCTTCGCAACTGGCACCTCTCCATCATTACTCTCTGTTATTCCTCTGCATTACCTTTGCTAAGTACATTCAGTCGCAGAGGCTGAGCAGGCGGTGTGTTATTTATGGCAGTGCTAGCCTCCATCCTTCATTTGGGATGTCTATGTTAAGTCAATGATGCTGAGTGAGGGGGAGGCAGCAGGGAGAGGTGTACCCGGCAAAGTAAACCTGGGCCTGCTGCTTGTTTGTGATCAGAAATAGACAGGGACACACACACACACACACAAACATACACACACACACACAAACAGTACTGTAGAGATGCAGAGAGATAGAAGGAAAATGAGGGAGAATGGAGGAGAGAGAAAGATAGGGAGCAGAGCTGTCTGGCAGCTGTTTGATAGACTGCGCTGATTCCACATGTGTAGATGCTCGGCTGGCTGGGACCAGGAGACAGGCCCACAGTGACATTCCGACGCTCATTAGATAGCAGGCAGAACATATCCACGGCTGTCCCCTGCTCTGCCTGCCTGCCTGAAGGGGCGGCTGTTATCTCTGGGTGCTGGGTGTGGAGGAGGGAGGAGGGGTTGCTGGTGAGAGCTGAAAGTGAAGGAGAATGAAATTCACACCATATAGGAATGTGTACATGGATAAGTAACTGTGGCGAGCACGATGCAGCCAAAGTATGTTGTTTTCGGTGTCTGAGACAGGATGAAGAGAGCAGTGAGCGGGGGGGTGATTGTTGTTAAGCGCACCCCTGCTGGTGCTTCTGAAGGTAGCTGTCAGTTGCTGCGTTGCACGGCATGAGGAGAGGTGGACCTCAGGGAGAGGGAGAAAAGCCTCGGGGTTGTGCGCTCTTCTCATGTCCTGATGCCAGGTGATGCTCAGCCCCCACCACCAAAAAAATCATGACATCATTAGCACCCCCCACCCGCCCACCACTTTTTAATATCGAGACATTGAGATATCTATCTGTCTCTGTATAAACAAGCAGGGGGGCCACACCCAGAAGCACTCCCTTCCCCCAACAGACATGCACCAACACTCTGCCTCTCTGGCTACGAGCGCATGGACCAAACTCAATCGAAGTGCAAACAGCACAATTGCTAGAAGCATCCGTTCAGCTGCAGCACAAGATTCCCCTGTAATTGTATCTCTCTGTGTGTGTTTGTGTGCGTGTGTGTGTGTGTGTGTGTGTGTGTGTGTGCATGTGTGAGTCCTGTCTGTCTCAGAATCCTGTTTTTCCTCAGACTGTTTGAACACACCGAGGTGAGGTGTTTCACTGTGTGTTGTGGTGATTATGTCCATGACTGCAGTGACACTGAAGTGTAACAGGATGGAAGAGACTCATCTATAATACAGCAGATCTGTGTGTGTGTGTGTGTGTGTGTGTGTGTGTGTGTGTGAACAATTGTTTGAATAGGAACAGTAAACGCGTGTTTCTAGTGTAGCCCAGATTCAAAGATTCAAGCTCCAGTGTAGGTTAGACGCTTCTGAGCACGTTCAATGGCCAATGTGTAGCTAACACCAGACGTAAAGAAGGACAAGAAAAGATAATGGAAATTTACCAACAAGAATCAACGGGAGTCTTGTGTAACTCTCATTCTAAACTTTATGCTCTAAGGAGCTTTGGATAAGCAAGTGTAATATTTTGCTGTTTGTTTTGTTGCAGTTCCTGGTACATTCTGCAGATCATTGCAAATCTCTCCCATTTGAAAAAAGCTATATATGATGTAATATAGAGAAATTTGCTTGCATCATACAAAAGAAATGCACATACATGAACACAGTGGATAAATGGTTAAAATGGGCCTTAAACAAAAACATCTTTCCTTAACAGAGCTAAAAAAAACTATTTCAAAAGACTTGAGAGCATTTTGGTGATGGTGTATTATGCTTTGGGAAACTGAGAAATTAAAAAACCAAAGTCGGCAGCTTGTAACAAAGGTTTTCATATTTGGATATGTTATTTGTATTAATTTAAAAACCAAGCTAATGCTGGTGTTATCACTTCAGGTATTCTTACCTTGATTCCTCTGTCTTTAACACTCAGTGTCACACTCTACATGATGAGTAAATTTACCTTTACTTGTAAACTGGTGAGTTTTTTTCAGATATAAGCAGTGAGTAACTGAATAAAACTGTGTTCGAAACTGTTTTGCTTCAGTTCTGCCCGGTTTAGGAATTAATATTTTATTCCCTGAAGGTAAAGAACTTAAAGAATGGGCTTAAAGCAATGCTGACATGTCCAAAGGTGCCACACAGTAGAATTGTTAGCAGGGTACAAGGATTGCAAAATTTACCAATTGTCAAGGATCATATCAAAAAGTCTCCCTTATTCTATCCCATAACCCCCACCCCACCCATTTTCAGAAACATTTAGTCAATTCAGCTCAAATAATCAGTATGAAAGATCTTTGCAGTAGACAACTAAGGATTCAATGAAAGATGGAATAACTCCAAGTCTTATTTCTGTGTGGCCTTGTGATCTTTTTTGTGAATAAACAACTAGAATGACACTCAATGGAGCGCATACTTCCACCAAGGCCTAACAGTTGCCTTAAATTCAATAAAGCTGCACCCAGATTTCACACAGTCATAGCTATCTGTTCCCTAAGTGGGCCAGACTTTTTGTAATCAAGAACCATGAATTATTCCCTGGGAAAACAAGATAATCACCATTTTCTATTTAAATATAAGATTATCACACGTGCTTTAATTTATATACTGTAGTTTTTGTTGTATTTATTGTTTGCATCATAAGCAACAAACCCATCCTTCTTCAATCTGTTGACTGGCATCATCCCCCAACTCCCTACGGTCAAAGTCTGTTTTGCTTACCGCCTTCTGAGGCGAGCCTGATCCTATGTTCCACACAGGAGCACCGGTGACAATGGAGAGAGAGAGAGAGAGAGATATTTCTATCCCCCCAGGGCACTTACACAGTTGGGTGGCTGGGAGCCTGTCATTAGCTCTGTGTATGTGTGAATGACAGGTCACTGAGGAGGCGATCTGAGAATTGGGGGAAAAATTGCTGGCCAAAGCAGTCCTGGAGGTGCCCTTGGCTCAGTTTAGTGTTTGTTCCAGGAGAGTGGAGGCACAGTGGGGGGAGATGGGGCACCGAATGCATATTGAGTGAGCACAGTGGAATATTCAGGAGCTGTAATGACCAGCTTTTTGGGGTCGGCCTATGTAGCAGCGTACGTATGTGCGTGCGTGTCTGTGTGTGAATGCATTCTCCTTTGTGGCTTTGTGGTGGCCCCATGTTGCTGCATATATGTGTGGCCATCTCTCTCTGTTTGTAATGACTCACTGTTTGTGTGGAGGTGTATAGTATCTTTCTTTGTTTGTCGTCTACACCTGTTCACCTATGTGTGCACATGTGTGTGTGTGTGTGTTGACAGTAATGAAAGCTTTGGAGTTTGCTGCGGGTGGAGAATTCATCATTAGTCTAATCCCTCTGGAGAGATATTCTCCTGCCTAACCCTCCCACATATATTCCTCTCAGCTCAGGCCAACAGATAAAAAGTGTCGTTTTGAAATATGCTCTTATCATTTTTTTTTTATAAAAATACAAAACATTATGCAATCAGAAAATTAGTACACTCGGTTTATTGTAATACTGTGATTCTTCCTCTACTGATTAGATCACAGTGTTTATCCTGACCCCTCTTGGCTCCTTGTGTTTACTGCATTACGCAACGGCTCGCTGCTTGAAAGATGACTTATTCGCAAAATGTTATTGAAGAGTTGTCGGGGAGATGTAGGAGGTGTTATTTTGTACTGGCATTCCAGACCAAAGAACGAGAGTCCTCATTATTCACATATGAAAGTGGCTATGATCTTCTTCTAATATCAGCAACACTGTTTTTTCAGTCACTATTTCCTCTGGAAATTCATTAAATTAGAAGCCAAACATGTAATGCAAATAAAAATACACTTCGGACTATATTATTTTTACTCAGTACAAAAACTGACTCTGTAAGCACAGGTAGGAGTGAAAGCACTGTGTGAGAAAGGGATTGTGTTAAAGCTCGGTTTATCTGCGCTCTCATGCTTTGCTGCAGGGCACCTGTTCTAAATACTCAATGTGTGAGCAAGTGACTGGTGCAGTGCCGCCACTATATGCACATGCAATGCTGTGTGTGTCCTAAGGGTCAGACGAAATAAGACCACATTAGACAGTTTAAGATTAGAAGTGAAGCTGAGGGATGGAAATTGTGGCCTGAGCATAACCATTAAAGTAGAATGTACCCAGGAGATAAGATTAGGCTGTAGCCCAAAGCCGCGCTTCCTCTGGATGCTGTTGAGCTGGAGGCTTTTTGGAAAACTCTTTCAAAATCTGTATGTCTCTCTGACAAGAGATGACGAGCTGTGCTGAAAATCTTTTGTCGATTTGAATTTTATCACTACATCATCATTTTAAAGCTATTTTGTGTCAATATTTCACATCAAAGTGGTGATTGTAGGAGCAGGTGGCTGCCCCATCCAGGCAGCTGCCAATAGATAATCGACCAAAGGCCCCCCTCTGCAGGGCCATATTGATTTGGAAGGTGGGAACGCTAGCACCCTCATCACAGCACAATGTAATCTACTGTTCCTTCATATACTCTCGATTTTAGGGATGCAGAGTAGTGTCGGGTCAGGGGTTGTGAAGGGGCCATAATTTACAGAGAGGGGCCAATTATATGTCCAACATCCATGCAAACTTCCTGATTCAGTAAAGTTCACATTTAAGTCATTTCTTGTTTACCGAAAAGTTCCTAATAAATTGTCATGTTTATTGTTAGTTTTGTTAGTAACTGAGTAACTGACTAGTTGATTAAAGACTATTGACAGGATAGGGGCACTTCAGGGGCCAATCAGATTTCAGCAGGGGCCAGTGCCACTGCCGTACATACCCCCTACCTTGATCTGGCCCTGATGCAGAGATGTTTCTGGTATATCTGATTGATCTTAGTTTGAAGGACAGTTAGCAGTGTTGAGATCAATACACTTTTTAATACAGACAAGTACATAACTCTGTCCAAGTGATGCCTCCTCCGCCCCCGTTACAACCCCCACAGACCCACTTGAAGCAGCCCCTTCCCCTTAAAGTATAAAGATTAGTGATGAGAGTCATCCACTCGTAGATCAAACGTGGCTGCCAAGCTGTGGAGCAGCCCAGTGGTAGCGGTTCTTCAGTCCTCACCATCCCCCCCGCCTCATCAACCGTCTCTCAGTGCGGACCCCGCCCTGACACCTGCTCCCACTGCGCTCATTTTGCCCGTGATTAAAATGTCAGCGTTCCCTCTGTTCAACACAGAGCTTGGCGATAGACTGACCAACATACATTGTGAATCCTCTTGAGCTTATCTTTGTTTCAAAAGTGGAAAATGACTAATTGCAAAGGCATTTGTCTAAAAAATGCTCAAATATAAGACTGACAGTTGAAGCTTTAATCCAAGCTCAGTAAACAAAAAAATGATATCCTATAATTTCTGTCGTTACTGTCACCAGTGGTCATTTGGAATTGGTTATCAAGTGGGATCTGTTGATGACAGCAGATTACTGCGAGGCAGAACTCCTACAGTCATCGGACCATCTGTCCCGCCTCAGCCAATGACACTGGAATGATACTCTGCTGGCAATGCAAAATGCATGAAAACGTGCCCTGTGCATGTCTGCTGCTGAGAAACAGATCCAGTGAGCAGTTTTTGTTTAGACAGAAATGACTCCAAATGTGTCCTTGATGGGCTTAAAAGCCTTCATCAGGGAAGAAAGGGCTAATGCTAGCACGATAAGTGCTTTGTTGAAGGTTTGAGAAGAGAAATACGAACGCAGCTTCCGGTTTTTTCAGTGTTGTCATTGTGTCGTATAAAAGCGATGAGCACGGCAGTCGTCGGCGTCGTGGCTTTTTGTTGCTGTTTCATGTTGCATTGCATTAATTGGCTTCTCTCACCAGCTGGAAATAATGTTAATACACTGAGGAGAAGCCGCCACACTAGCTTCCTGGAGCGCTTAAGTGTGCCAGGGCATCTTGCATGCATCCCATAGCTGGAAGTGAACTCTTTGATGTGATTGCTTCTGAGAAACGTCATCATTTATTGATGCTTCCATTAAAGTAGCATGGACGTCTGTGTAGAGTTGGGGAGGAGGAAGGGGGCACGCTGGTGCTTACGAGCGAACAGCACAGAAAACGCCCTCCCCGTCTGCACCATCAGTCTTTCAATTCATTTCAAGTCATGTCGCTGTAGTGCTACACCCTTGTTTAGATGTTTTTTGATCAGGTTTTGTAGGTGGGTGTATCATATGATTTCATGTGTGACAGCACTTAAAGAGATAGTTCACCCAAAAATGAAAATTCACTCATTGCCACTCACCACTATGCCAATGGTTGGGTGGGGCGTGAAGAGTTTGAGTCCACAAAACACTTTTGGACTTTCAGGGGTTAACAACGTTAATTTAAGTAAATGGTGACCGATTGTTCAAACAGAAAAAAACAGAAATTGCCTCCATACTGCTCCTGTGGTGTCATCCAAGTGCCCGGAAGCCCCAACATTCAAATTCGGATTTATAATGTGTGAATGAAATGACACTGTATGGGAACACATTTTAAATGACTTATGTCACGTTATTCATGTTATGAGACATTTTAAAGGAACTTTTCTGTATATTTTTGTTCATGTCACTTTATTTTCAGTGTGTTTCGTGGGTTCAGTGTTGATTTTCTCATTTATGAATTCAAATTTGTCCAGAGAGTGAAAACATTAAATATTTAGAGCATGTGGCCTGTGAAATCCCAACCGAATGTTCAGTAGTTTTGTACAGCAAATCTTCCTGTCAAACGACTTATGTTCCTAAAATGTTTCTAATTTCCTCAACAGGATATCGTCATCACTCTGTTAAATTAGTGTAATTAACAGTGGCATAATATGTGCCATCTTATTGGTGTTTTCATTCCAGAAATCTCTTGTTCAATTATAGTAATACCAAGGAAATTATAACAGTTGGGAAAAAGGTCTTGATTTTGATATTGAGATATTGCTTTTTTATTTATTCTTGTAAAGTATTTAACACAGCATCTGTATATTTTGTTTGAAACCTTTGAAACCTTTGAATGTGTTTAAATAGCTTTTCAGTGACATCATCCTGTCATCAATATATTCAGCATCAATCTCTCCAAGAAGTGGTTTCTAATAATATCTGATCTATCGGTCTTCTTTCAGGGTCCTCCAGGGAAGTAAAGGCTCCTGCTGAGGTGTCTGAGCAAATGGTGCATAAGCTGAGAGGCAAGAATGAGTTTACTGTGCTGGTGACCCTCAAACAGGATCACCTCAACTCTGGGGTCATCCTCTCCATACATCACTCCGAGCACAGGTATGATCTGTTCACCTCTAACAGCACAATCTGTGTACACTATGGTTTGTTATATTCAAGAAGGGTATCCCATGCTATTGATTTAAGATATGGATGACATGACAACTCCTCAAAAGTGAAGCCCAAGTGTCTTGGTTGCTCCTGGTGGCAGGCTGCAGTATACATCTAAAAGTTAAAATTGATGTCTATAAAAAAAAAGTCATGATTTACACCTGAGACTGACTTACGATTGGTCGAGAGGGTGTATCAGCAGGACCTACATACCCCCAATCAGATTCTGGCTCCAAATTACTTCCTTGGTGTCAGATGGAAGCATTTGTATCCAGAATAGTTTGGCCATCCATCTTTATTTACAGCCTATGAGATATACGTGCAGATAAATAACAGTAAAATGCATACAGATGAAAAATATAAAATCAGATAAAATATATACAAAAGCATTTTTGGAAATGTATATATTGTGAAGAAGGAGACCAATGGTCCAAAATGCCACATGGAGTACTGTAAAGCTGTTTGTAAAAGCTGCACTGATAAACCAAGAAGCTGTTTCCTGTACGCCACATCAGCAGTAATCTGTAATATGTAGATTGAAACCTGAATATTTGTATTCGATTTTAGAGGCTTTAAGCACCAGTCGAGTAAACAAAGCAAATTATCCTGTATGCCGACGTATTATTCACAGGCCATCAACGATCCGAACATTGAGTCTGTAATCGTGGATGGAAAACTAATGACGTACTGTATCTGCAGTTAGCATGCTAATGTTTTCCATCAGTTTGTGGCGGCTGAGCCGTTGGATGATCAGGACAGAAATCTGAACGCCACATAATGCATTGATTGAACAGTTAGTGCATTAAAGTCAGTGTTCAGCGTGAGAGCTCACAGGAATGTTAATGACTCTTCCCCCTCTGCTGATTAGCTTTCCCTGCCGTTCATATGTAACTAAGCAGCACTGCATGACATAGCCAGTGCATTTATGGAGTCAGGATGAATGTGCATGCATGGCTGGGGGGGAGAGTACATCCATTAGATATGGTTTGCAGATAAATCGATTTTATTGCATCACACGCAGGAAGGTGTAGTGTATTTCTTTCTTTTTTTCCCCAGCAATAGTTTAAATAAGTCTTTGAAGGCAGATGTGATGGGTGTATATCAGCAGCTCTTTCCATCAGTGTAACTATGCAGGGTGAGTCTCACTGGTGTGGAGAAGAGGATTCTCTGTGAATACTAATACTCCAATGTAAAGAGTTGAACCTCTCCATGTGGGCCATTATTCTGTGTTGCTGATGTTGCACCTAACCACCATATAGTGCCATTATGCTTGACTACTGATGTGATTAAATTCTAAATGGTGTTGCAAATCTGGATGGATGTGAGTGCGCTGCCTGGAAATGAGTGATGTGCTGTCTCTCACCACAGTGCTGAGAGGAGCTCTGGGCTTAGACACCTAAATGATGCATGCAGGTTTCTGTGTCGACAGACGTAAGGATTTTGCTCCCATTATTGAGACTTTAATGCATCAAGACATAATGTGCATGGCAGTTAACACCAACCTTGTCATTTAGCAGCTCTTACTTGAAGCAGTATGCTGGTATTTTTTTTATTCTCCAGGTTTCTGGAGCTGGAGAGCAGTGGCCAGCGCAGCGAGGTGCGTCTTCACTACCGCACCAAAGGCCAGCAGGCCCACACTGAGGTGTTCCCTTACAGCCTGGCTGACGACCAGTGGCACAAGGTCTCTGTGGCCGTCAGTGCCTCTCACGTCATACTGCATGTTGACTGCAATAGGTAAGAAGCTGGGAATTTCTATGTAATAAGTGTAACAGTGAAGTTTAAGAAGAACTCCACTGGTTTCACACATCCTATAGTCTGTTTACATGTCTTGAGGAAAAAAGTTTTATAAACCCAAGTTGTGGCTCCCGAGGGATTTATGTGAAACCTAATGTTTTCCTCAAGTGATGCCATTTGAGTCGGTGTCTTCTGGGGCTGAAGTCAACAAGTTTAAAATGAAAAACATGGAGGTGTGTAGTGAAACAAGAAATTGGGTTATCCAGACTTCCATAGCTGCTCGTCATCGCTGCTTGAGGCTAACAGCTAAGTGCTAACACACCTGAATCCCTGACCAAACTGCCAGTGCTCGAGTTAATGTAGGTGTCAGGTTATTGACCAAAAAAAAAAAAAAGAAACACCCTTTCTTTCTTTTAACAATGTATATGTTTTGAGAAGAATAGTATTGATGGTGGAGGTTCTTTGATTTCATGATTGATTAAACTGAAAAAATGGTATGCTCCTGTGTTTCAAAAAAACAATTCAACGTCATTGTGTTAATTAGAGAGGAGCCAATCCAATCCACTGGATTAGTATCAGCCACAGCATGACTGATCCACATTAAGTTCAATTCATTCAAAGAGGAAAGACAGCAACTCAGGATTGGTGTATTCCTACTATAAATATCGTCAGTCTTTTTATCAGAGATCCGTCATATTGCTGTTATTAAGACCCCTCATTATTTCAGCTTTACTTGTTTACATTCAACTTATTAAAGGCAGTATAAACCTGCCCTGGTGTTTGATTTCTATATAACACGCCTGTGTTCTGAAATCAGAGGCGTGGTGTGTAACTTACCTACATCAGCATCTGTCCGACCTTCCCTTCACATAATTGTTTATTTAAGATTTGTAAAAAATGTTGCTGTTAAAAAAACA